ACCGCCTGCTTTTGTGGTTGCTACCTGCAATAACAATATAATTCATAGTGTTCTATAGTGTTCTTATAATCAACAAGGTGTGGGGGATCATCCAGTTGTTTGTTTTATTTTTTTCAGATAGCCATCCAGAGGCAAAGTTGTGAGGTGTCGCATTCTGCATCAGGTTTGAGCAAGTTTGACATGGGGAAGTGTGAAGCAACTTGAAGCATGCCAGCGTACGAACTTGAAGTATGTCGCTACTTGTTTCATTTGAATAGAAAAAGACTCAATGATACCCCTCGAGAAAACCGCATTTATCCCTCGAAGCAGCATGTTTTGGTGTGTGCTTTTCCTTCATGTCCATGGGAGGGAATAACACCACTTCGATCCATTTTGGAGATTGAGACTACTCAAAGGCAGCCTTATGGACACCAATTGTTGCAGCATCACACAGAACTTGTGGGTTGGTGTTCTAGACATGAGACATGCCCGTGGGTGTTTGACAGATGAAATTCAGCTATCCCAAACCCTGAAGATAATAAATTGCATAAGATCCTACTAAGAGAACATATTTCTGAATGCTGGGGGCTCATGCTTGAAGAATAGTTTCTGTTTGATTTGGATTGGGGCTTCACAGTTTCCTTGTTTCCAAATGTTTGCATCAGGATGCATGTCAAACAAATACGCCGGAGTGGCTTTGTCTTCCATGTTTCATTGTAATAGCAGGGACATTTTGTCAGTTTGTCTGAAGAGAATGCTGAATCATTTGCGTTTGAAACACCTGTTCAACCTGCATTGGCCACAACTTGTTCCAAGGATCCTTCATCTCGTCTTCTTGGCAAACGCTGAATCCTCGTCTTCTTGGGAAGACACAGGCTTTGTCCAGCTGCACCGGAAAAAACACCGGTTCGACCGCTCTGTCGAGACCGAGACCTTCCGCCGTTGCGCGAAGCGGGTGCCCTATGGCATCTTCGGGGCGAACGATGGACCCGCGCCGCAGCTGGGCGGCGCTCTAGGGGCACGTCAAGAGGGGTTTGAGAGGGGCCACGCCGAGAGAGGCGGGGATTTTGGAGGTGTGTGGGGAGTGAACTCGGTCTTAACAGTCTGATGGCATGTTGAGACGGTCCTTTGCACACCATGGAGCGTCATTAAGCATTCATGAAGCAGCCAAGAAGGCCACCGAAAGGAAGCCCCACCTTTTTCCCGGGGATCCTCCCTTTGGCTTTTCCACTCTGACCATGTGTTCCTGTGGCTCCCCCTCTCTCTCTCTCACACGTACTACTCTCTGAGGTACACCATGTACCCGGAGGATGTGACCATTCCGAGTGAAGAGATGGGTGAATTCTATGCCAAGATGGGCTTCCAAGGGGTGCGCCCTGATGAGGCGGGCAAAGCCTTCCACATCAGCTGCATGTTCCCAGTGAGTGGCTCGGCGGAGAGTGGCTGGACTGGCAAACGGGGATGAACCAGGCAGTATACGAGCTGCCACCTTGCACTGTATATAGCATGCACATGGAGGAACCTATAGGATAACACTTTGCAAGTGTCAGGATGTTAACGATATTGTCAAAGGCGACTAAAATCAATCAATGGTAACAGTGTGGCATCCCTCCAGGACAGCAGATCATAGTTTGGAGGACTCAGGGGGAAGTTTGTGCTCTCCTCGAAAGGGACTGGCACGTCCACGACATGGAAGTTTGATCAAGTTGATGTTAGTTTCGATCCTTCCGGAGCAGATGGTCCGTTGGACATTTTGGACACTTCAATGTGTACAGAGAGGGGCCACATGATTGAGGCAAGAAATGGGGCAATCCAGTAGACATTCCAGAAATTCTAGGATTGGTAGAGAGACATTTCTCCAGAAGAAACTGCTGGCACTGCAGTTCTTCCTTCAGCTGCCTGAGCTGTCCCAACTCATTTGTTGTTTGCAATCTGTCGCACCTAATGGACAATTTGTGGTGTAACAGTCAACCACAGCAACAGTTTTTTACAGGTGCAAATGAACTTGCTTCTCTCTCTCTATATATATATCTATATATATAATATATTATGTGATGACAGTTGCCCAGTTAGAAAAACAAGATACAGAACAATGGATAGACAGAGATAGATACAGCAGATGGATGGATGGATGGATGGATGAATGGATGAATAGATCGAAGGATATTAATAGATCGATGGGTAGATGGATCGATGGATAGCTTAATAGATCGATGGGTAGATGGATCGATGGATAGATCCATAGTTCGACAGCTGCAGACTTAGACATAAAGCTCGACCCTTTCGACTCCGGACTCTTCACCTCTCCATCCCATCCGGCGAAAGGGCCGTCACCTCGAGGCGACTTGGCTCAGATCCCCGACCCACTGGATGATCGAAATTGGAACTGGCACGTCCGGGCGGCCCAGAACGGACAGCGGTGCTTTGATTGGAACATGTGGCCCTTTCGTAAAAAGGATAAGGAGCCAGGATAAGGATAAGTGATGGTGCACCACGGTGTTGGTGTTGATGTCATGTGATTTTGGTTCCTGAAAGGTGACATGATCAACATGACATAAACATTGACATCACACCAACTAAAGCAGGCTCTTGGTTCCGTGCAGATCTATATGTCTATATGTTGCATTGAACAACAGCGACATCCTCTAAACTGGCCAGGCATGCATTTACAGCGATGTGTTTATTTTGTTTTGCATTTTCTAGACCCCCAGAAAGTGCTTCAAGTCCCTCCACGGCCTCAAGATGTTCACTTCAAGGTCTGAAAGTTAACCTAGTTCGCCCCAAGCGCTCTCAAACTCAAACAACTCCCTCTCAAACTCAAACAACTCCCATGCCAGGAGTCCGACAAATACATCAACGCCATCCTGCGCGCCGGTCTGGCGCCGTTCCTGAAGATCCCAGTGTTGTCTTGGCAGTCCACGCGTCTCACAGGGCTTGCCTACTGGGAGCCTTGGCGAAGATCTGATTAGTGAGGGGTTCTCGTGCGCTTCGTGGTGTGAACATTGCTCAAAGTTGACGAGTCATTGACGAGCAGTCAAAGGGGATGCATGCCTTTTTTTCAGAGAAATCAACCGAATCAACAAACAAAGTGAAGAAACATGTATATAGAAATTACCATCGACTTCCGCGGGTCGTCTCATTCAGCCCTTCCATGAGTGTTTCTCAGGCTGGGTGCAAATATCTTGTGTTCAGTTTATGATAAGCTCAATTTCCTTTACAATACATGTTGCTCACTATGTTGCTCTAGTTACATCTTGTATCATGCCATGTATTGCCATGTTCAATTCGTATGTTTTTGTTTCACCGCGTAAGTGTGTTGCGAACGAATGCCGTTGAACGCTGAACGCGAACGTCCAATCCGGTTGACCGTGTGGGTGCTGCGAGTTGACCCGATCCAAACTCCAGTCAAACATTCAGATCTTAAGGTGTGTCCCATTTCCGGAGTTTGCAAGATTATCGCTATTGTTTTTGTGGAAAGGCCTTGCATGATTAACCTAAGCAGCATCATCATCATCATCATCATCATCATCAGCTTTTGCTGGGAATGGTTGACATCATTGAACATTTATGGTAAGTGGACCTATAAATAGTTTTACGCCCAATCAGATCACCAGGGACATCTAGAGGCCATAGACCATGGATGCATGTGAGTGTAGATGGCCATATGGATGAAGGGCAAGAGCACATGCAAGTGGATGAGTGGTGGCCAGACTGTATATGGTTTTAGACTGGCAAACTGAAATGACGTGAACACTAAGAATTTGCCAGCAATATCATAAGAATCCACACAGAATGTCAAATCAAGACCCAAGGGGAACTTGATCTTCACAATCGCCATATCGATGCAGCTGCCCTGAGATATAAGTCTTCCACATCGCTTGGGTACGATGCGTTGTGGAAGCCTCAAAACCTCTTTTCTGCTGATTTCGCAGACCGAAGTGATCGATGGTTCGACTCGATTCTCGATTCGACTTCACCGATCGTGGCCCCCAGCCTGACGCCAAAGCTAGACGGGCACGGTTTGCCTGAGCCCCTCTATGTTCTAGCCTTTTCCACCCCCTGGGCCCCTGGCCTTTAGCAAGATACAACATCGAGCATTGCTTCTACGTCACGTAGGAAACCTGGTCTTCCAGGTTCATACGGTCCGTTCGGGTATCCGGATGCGGGTCTCCTAGCATCCAAGGACGAGACTTTGCAAGAGACAGTGCAGAAGATCCCTGGCAAAGTGGGAGTCCGGTATAGCACAACAGGCGTCGGCTTTCTTCTTGCATTTGTGCTCCCCATCAGCAACCTGCCCACTTTTTTAAATACCAACATGGCTTTTTGATTGTTGATTGGACAATGAAGCAGCCTTCTGAACTTGGCATGGTGGCAACAAGCGTATCAAGAGCACCCATTATCGTTATCCTGGTTATGATCAATTCATAATCATATATAATCAGCATTGTGTTTGGCAAACTTTTCCTATCCTCTATTCTCCTCTATCAACAACCCGAGGGCTGCAGGTCAGGGAAGCTTATACTTTATAGCAACCCTTGGCTGATGGGTTTCAACAATATGCACATGGCTGACATGTTTGCCTCCACTAAAAAGCACGGTGCAACTATTGTCGAACTTGCAACTATATTCTATGTTGTTCTATAATTAGATCTAATTTCCTTTCACACTTCGTTTCATATCTATCGCTCTTGGCCTTGTGTCGTTGCACCTCGGAAAGACCGTCCTCAGGACCACCGGTGCGGTGTGTCCACGTGTCCGTGACCCCAAACGGGGGCGATCCCTCCGGCCACACGAGGATCCCTCCGGTGAACTATGACAACTGCGCCCCCTGGCCCAGCGTCTCTGGCGCAGCTTGGTGCAGAGTAGGAGGGGTCCGGTGATGGTTCCCTCCAAGCACGGAAGGAGAAACATCAGAAGTGAACAGGAGTGTGAACAGATTCCTCCTATCTCCAGGAGTTCGATGTTTCTCCTTTCTTCTTGGCCTTCCTGTCGAGCTCGCTACCGAGGATGACCACTTCACCATTGCCCCTACGACCCTGAGTCAACCGGCCAGAAGGGGTAAAACACCATCAGAGGAACAGAAGTGAGGCCTGGAAGAATCGCGGCCCATTAACTAACCATGGCCAAAGGCGGCCAAAACACCACTTCACAGGATATCCCTCCAGTCCAATCGACAAGTCCTCGATTCGGTGGCCTCAATTCCTGCCGGCGCCCCCACCCCGAAACCGTTCGATGGGTGAACGAACACGTTCGAAGCGCTGGACATCGGACTTTGGTGTTCGATAGTTCAAGTCAGGCGAAGTAACATGCCGGCCAATACAAGTTTATATTGAAGAATGTATGCGCAAGACACAGCCAAGTTTCGCAATGAATATTTCATGTATTATGATTGTATATGATCTTGCAGTTTGCTTTTTTGTTAGGAATTTCACCTCTGGTTTTAACCTTATACGCAACAACAATGAAACATGTGGTGCTCAATCCTGGTCCATCCGTCTCAAGTTTTAGCTCACAGGTTGCTGCCTTTTTTGCCAACAACGCATGCTAGCCAAAAGGACACATATCAGGCAAACCAATGACAGTATGGACACTTTTTGACCTTTGTTGAGCAAAGGTACACCAACATGTTCCATGCGCTGTGCGTTTGCCAACTCAATACGCATGTCACAGGAGGTAACTAGTTCTTGCTTGTGAGACATTCATCTATCCAGGTGATCAACCAGGTTGGCCCTCAGCTGGTCATGAAGATTGTGGAGCGTTACAATGACTTCAACAAATTCCCCGTGCCCGGTCGTCCTGGCCAGGGTGCATTGGATTCTTGTCGCGATATGCGAATACTTCGGGGACCAAACGGTTCAGAGATTGTTTAGAAGCCGCAAACCTCAGAAAGAAAACTGAACTAGCACGTTGAAACAGCTGTCTTGTGCGGATTGATCGGTTGTGGTTGTACCATGTGCCTGGAACCAGGTCCATCCGGTGGTAAAACCGGATTCCTTGTTCAGTCTCCAATCGGCTGCGATCGGTCCCGGCCAGATGCACCAGGCGAAATCAGACTCTTGCCTTCCGATACCTGCGCCCACATGGTATGCTGATTGGTTTGTGTTTCGTGTTTCTTTCTTCGTTTTGTTAGGTTGCACCTTTCCAAACCCATCCGGTGCAATTTGTCCCTACAAATGTTGGATTCATATAGTGGTAGCATCCATCAGAATCCCTTCCATAGATGAACATCTTTGAGATGACTCTCATATGTTATTTTTCTGTTGAGCTTGTGACAAGGCTTGAAGAAACTCAGGCCGGGACTAAAAAAGGAGTTCCCCAACCACCACAAGGCGGTTCCTCGTGAATTGCGGCAATGCGGCCATAGCCCTTGAATGCTCTTGACTTCTAAGGACAAAGGCACCTTCAAAGGCTTCAATGGCGTGGAGCTCATGAACGAGTGGCAGATGATGACCTGCTTCCCCAGCAGCGTTTTCATTCCGGGCTCCTCCTTGTGCGATCAGGTGAGCAAGGGATCGCGTCTTCGTTGTGGGAAGGAATCACTGCCATGGGCCAGATTTGCTTGCTCTAAGAAACGCAGCCCAGTGGCTGAATGGTTTCAACATCCTTCAATGTGTTTCACCATGTTTCACCATGTTTTAACTGACGCACCTTTGCGAAGGTCCCTGCAGCTGGGAGACCCAGGAACTCAGGAGCTTTGCAGCTAGGCTTCAAGGTGGACAGATCCCTTTCGCCGGACTCAATTTCCCAGCGACCGAAGAGAACCGTTTGAGACAAGGCCGAAAACTGCCTGACAGGCCGAACACCGGAACACCACGGAACCCCCGCGGGGTTGCGACTGCGCGGGGTGTTCCGAACGTTCCTTCGGCGGGTCGCCACCCGCTGCGCCGAACCCCCGGACGTCGCTGCCAGGAGGTGACCGATCAGATTTATGCCGATTACTGCTTCGCGAAGCCCTACCAGTGGAGCTCCCGCTATTGGGACGGCACTCCGGAGGTGGGGCTGCCGGATTCAGTGGCTTTGGCCGGTTGCGGTTGAACAAACCACCAGGGAATCCAAGAATCCTGTACAAGTTTTTGAATTCTGTATTTTGTATCAGGGCTCCAGGTTTGGGTGGCACACCCCTTGACCTCTAGACACTCCTTAGGGGGTCTAGAATCTAGAATTGCGGTATCAGGTATCCTAATGAAAGCCTGATGGTGAACAAACTTGTCTACCTGGGGGAATCTTGTGCCCGAGCAAAACCATCGCTAGTTCCTGAAATTTGAACGCTTCGCGGAACTGGAGATGCGCTGGTATGGTTCAACCATTGTCATTGTCAACCAACAGGCTCTAGGAAACTTTTGTATACACAGACATCGAACTGTTTGCAACTGACCGGGCCGCTCGATTGAGGCGAAGAATCAGACAACAACATGAGCACATGGGCAACGCCTCTCCCAGAACAAACACGTTTTATGATGCTTTATGATGCTTTATGCCTATGCCTGCAGTGAGATGCAGTAAGTAGAATCAAGAGAAACATGTTTCTTGCTCCTGCGCAAACGCTCAACAAATCTCAACGACAACACTTTCTGTTAACTTGTTCTGCAGTACTTTACCCAGCCTCACGACATTGCAGGGAAAGATCTTTCCCATCATGCCTTCGTTTGTTTTCCCGCGACGGAACATGCCAACATGTCAAGTTAACTTAACTCCCTGCAACACTCAATCTCTTGTTTTGGTCTTGGTCGCCAGACGTCTTTGTTGGGACTTGGTTGCTTCGTAACAAGGCTTGGTGCTGGAACGTCGTTTCAGCCTGTTTGAGCCTCCGCCGTTCGAGCAAGGCACCTTAAGGTGACACATACATGCGACCCGAAGACCACAGGTTGGCCAGCCAGTTTTGCAGACCATCAATCTGGTTTGGAACACCAAAAAAGTGAAATGAAGGTGAAATGACTAACTTCTGGAGGACAAGTTCATCATCATCATCATCATGATCATCATCATCCAAATAACCCAAACCCAGAGTTTCTTGTTTGGTGCCTCCCACTGCCCCGTGGGGTGCGCTGCTCGAGGCTGCCTGGGCCTTCTATGCCAACAGTGCCAAGGCGTTGAAGGCAGTCACGCGTAGGGCGGTATAAGAGTGACAGTGCTGAGAGAGAGAGAGAGAGTGAGAGCACAAGTCTGACACGGCTGCTTGCTGTTGAGACACGAGTAGCAAGTGTAAGCTTTTATGAGACCCTCAGGGCTTTTGGAGTGGGTTTTGAAGTGGGACGCATTGGATTCGTCTCTTGAGGATGGACCAACGGTTGACCCAACTAGCTCCTCAGCTCCGCGCGTCGCTTTTGCGTCCGCAAGGAGAACCCCAAGACCCAGAAGGTCCGCGTGGGAGGCCCTGCGACTGGAACCAGTTCATCCTTTTGGCCTTGCCAGGCGTTGTCGGGATGAGCGGCTGTGCACGAACACAGTCCGTTTCTACACCTGCACTCTGACGAGCGCGTTTGGATATGTTTCTAAGCATGTTATAGATGCAAGATTGCATAGTAGCGGTTGACAGAACAGGAGATGTGCAAGCTTTCTTCTGATTGCCAGATGGCTTTAGAGGTTCTCATATATATATATATTATATATATAGTTTGTTCTGTGATTTGCTTCTTTGCATATTCTTCGAATGCTTAATTTGTGTGCATCTGGCAAGATTTGGGCACCCATGCACCATCTCGCACGTGTCTCATCCAGGCTTGTCCGACGGCATTCGTGTCTCGGATGTTGAGCAGTCAAGACTCGTGTCTCGTTCAGGTGTTCGAAGGCATCGCGAAGAAATGGGTGGTGGGCTTTCTAAACGAAATCAAACGTCGCTTGGATGCACCTTCTGGGAAGGGGCGGCGAGGGCCCCGAAGGGACGTCATGATGTTCGCTTGAATTGGACGAGAGTTGATGAACATCTATAAGAGAGCATTCAGGAAGATTCATTGACTTGGAATTTGTTGGGCTATGCTGGCCCAGAAGTCTAATAAGTTGAGCGGCTGTGTTTCTCATGTGTTTCTCCGGTGTTTTGTTTCCAATCGTTTCGGACATGCCCATTTCCAGAAGGCAGCTGGACCAGCTGCTGAGGGTGAACTGACACGTTCACCGACCCAGACCAGAGGCACGAGACAAAAAGACTTTATGCAGAAAGATCAGTCAGGCCTACTGTCAGTGCAGGAGGTTTGCAATCTTCATTGTGGACTACTGAACAATCACTAGCTTTTATCGGCGTTTGGTATTCCACAGTTGCCAAAGCATGATGAGAAGACACAAGAAAGCTCAGAGTAAATACTACCAATCTTGCAAATCTAGACTCTTTTCCAAGCCTGGCTGCCAATAGCACGCTGGAGAAAAATCCTTGTTCAGCACGAATGTATTGTGGACATCAGTTGCAGACTTCAGGCTACCTCAACTCTCACGCATCCCTTCAAATTCATGGGGTTCATCAGCTCAAGCACAGGTCCTAATTGGGATTATGGGATGTTATGGGCCGTCCGAACAAGCGACGTTGTACCTGTTCTTCTGACTCAAGGCTCAAGACAGTACTGTAATGTGTTTCAGAGTCTTAGGCGTCGTTTAAGGTTCTGGCAAAACTGTTTGAACGAGTCACATCGAGTCACGCCCCACATGAACATGAGATTTGCTCGGTACTTCGGCAGACGGAAACCTGGACCTCGAAGGTCCTTGAAAAGGACCTTGATATTTTTGGAGAAACGGAGGTCATCCATGTTGAGAGTGATGGTCCCGGAAGGCATCGCTGCTTCATGTTGCTTCATTTAGTGTGACAAGCGTTCAGAGTCTGGGCACTTGGACAAGAAAGGTAAGAGAGACGAGGCAGCATGCCTCCATGAGAAAGTCGACTGCATCCCACCAGCATCCACTAGCATTGGCAGATGACATCTCTGCCTTTTTTTTGCACGGCGGGGATTCGATCCGACATTCTTTGCAATCGGAGTTTCTACTGGTATGACCAGTTGCTTCGGAGTCTGTCCACCTTCGATGCATGGAACTCAACTCCTTCGATGGATGGAGCCCAGGTGTTGGAGCCCCGTTGGACTTCTTCAGCTTCCACTACTACGATCCCTGGTTGGTCGGACTTGGTTCAGGAATCCTTGAGGGCATCAGGTACACTGTAGAGACACATTCAATACATTTCAGCGCAGCATATATAAACATGTGTGCCGAGCTGCGGCTGCCGCCTCCATTTTCACATAGCTCCTGTCATGGAAGATGATCTTCTTGGGTAGGGGGCAACATGGTTTCGTCCGAAAGAGCGTCCGTTTCTCAGGCTCGTCGCATCTAAGGATCAGGGCCAAGGTCAGAACAGCTCAATGCCCTTGACGGTGCCCATTGAGAAGTTCCGGACCTTGTTGGACCAGATGGGATTCACTGAGACGGTCTTAGCCATCACTGAGCATCTTTGCAGCAAATGAAGCAAATCGCGCTCGGAGACGTTACTGGAGCAAATGATGCACCTGCAAGGAAACGTGTGGAACTTCCCTTGAATCCTTTCCAGTGGTGTTTGTCGCGGATCCTTCACATCCCCAATGAGTCGTGTCATTGAATGTTTCGACTTCTTTTTGTTGATCATGCAAGCATAGACCCCAAACAGTTTCAGCCTCAGCATTTTTTGTCGTCAGCTCCTTGAATTCCAATGTTGGTGGGAACGTCGGTAATTGCATTCCTATTCTGTTGAGAGTGGTGAGAACACCATGACCCATGTCATACCACAGGCATTTGTTTCTCGAGTGAAAAAGGAGCGAGGGGATTCCTTTTGTCAAGGGTTATGAGCCCAAACTAGCGGCTCTTAGCTGCGCCATGGATCGAGCCAGATCACTCCCTCCGGTCAATCCTTTCTGGTCTGAAAGGGTCCAACAGGAGGTTTGGTTGCAACACCATAGACCCGAAGATCTCCCGGTGCCACATGATGATGGCGACCTCGAGGAAGGCGGGCTCACGGGTGGCACAGGGAAGGGTCGAGGCTTATCGACTGGAGGGCGGGTTTATGCCACTCCAGCCACCAGACTAAGAGGTGGGCACGGCGCTGGAAAGAGATCGAAGGGCAGGATGTCGTCAGGGGACATGGCTGATGAGCCTGTTCCTGGTCCGTGCAAGTCTATGGGTCCTATGCCCCCTGAACATGTCCAAGCCAAGCCTAGGCGGGGTCATGAGTCGGAAGGGAACTTGCAGCGAGCTTTGGAAGCGGAAATGGTCACTTTCCTCAGGGAGCAGAATGATCATCTGCGCCTGGAGCTGGAGGAAATGAAAAAGAAGCTGGCGGGTGGGACTTCGTCGTCGGCACCTTCGGCACCATCGTCGTGGGAGTTTGGCTGGAGGGGTTTCAGCTGATGACAAACGGCCCTCGTCGAAGAACCGAGTTGATGGTCCTCATACGCCACGGGGGAGAAGTCCTACAACCAGAAGGGTGCTTTCGGAGCGGTCAGCGGTTCGCTATACGCCCAACGGCACTCAAGTTCCTGATGGGCAACCACCTCAACTGCCGGAAGTGCCGTTGCCACCTTTTGGACCTCCTACCTCAGGCAACTCGGCTGAAATTAGTTTGCTTCAGGGGTATGAGATTTTGGATGAACTTCGCCGTCGACGAGGCGATCAACACTGGTTGCCACTTGGCGTGCGAGAAGGGAAGGCTTTCGAGCCGCAGGAGAATGGGTTCGCGCCTCGAGATGATCGCGCAACTCGGCTTGAAAAGGAGGTGGATGCCACTGAGAATCTCCATGGAGCGGATGCAGGAAGCTTCGCAGGGTCCTGGACGCGTGGCTGCATGTTCTCAGGATGCCCATCCACCACCTCCACAGGATTTGGGCACTGGAGGCCTACGGGGACATGACCTCCAAGAGCTGTTTGGCAATGGTGGTCATGGTGTAGACCATGGTCATCGTGGGGACTATGCTGGTGTTAGCATGCGTGCTCCGGGTGATCATGAACGTGATAAAGTATGTCCCCCTAATCCTGACGGTGTATGTCATCCTTCAACCACGTACAGAGTGTTTGAACCTGCAAGTGATTTCGTGGGTTCTAGCGGGGCTGTACCCGACTACAACCGGAATGGTTGCTGGCGAGATGAGGGTGGTCAACCGCCCACTATGCCTTTACCCTGGAATGAAGGTTCTGGAAACAGCAAAGCGGAATTAGCAGAGCTCTCCGCGGACGCTTCACCTTTGGAGCTAGGAGATTGGTTGGCCGTATGTGGTCCCGTGTTGAGGGACATTTCGGCAGTCAGCGCCAGGTGGTGGAACCTCACTACACGTGAAGCTCAGTGCTACTATGAACGCTGGAAAACATCGTCGCCACTGGAGCGGGTTCAGATCTCACCGCGGTTGCCGGATGAGTTGCTTGATGGCCGCTATCAGAGGACGGAACAGCGGGGTGTGCATTTGCTCTTGCGGGCCATTCCAGCAGATCAACAGCAAGCCTTGATCACAGCACGTGAGCTCACCTCGACGGCACTGTTGTTCAGGTTGTTGGTTCGGTACCAACCTGGAGGATCCGGAGAGAAAGCAATACTCCTTTCCAAGCTGACCACCATGGACAAAGCCACAGGGGTCACTGAGTTGGCAGCTGCTTTGAGGTTATGGCGAAGGCATTTTTCTCGGGCTCAGGAGATTGGTGCCATTTTACCTGACGGCACGCTGCTGTTGAAGGCATTGGAGCCGGCTGTGGCTCAAATTGCCTCGATGGACGCCCAGGCCTCGTTCAGATTGGCACAAAGTCGACTCCAGCTGGGGATCGATCAGCAACCTCTCCACTCGGGCATTTGGCGGTTTAGTCAATGTTTGCTGGCGGAAGTGGAGACTCTGTCATTGATGAGCACTACTCCAACGTCTGTTCCCTCCACAATCAAGGTGAAGCAGATGGAGGCTCCAACAAAGTCAATGCCATCCCGGGGCATGCAGACTGGGGACAAAGGCAAGGATGGTTCAATGGCCTCTACGCCCTGCAGATACTTCAGGTCAGAAGCTGGGTGTAAAGCCGGCAAGGCTTGCAAATGGTCGCACAGCTGGGAAGGAGTGGAGGACAAAGCTGCTTGGTGCTGGATTTGTGGTGGAAAAGACCATCGCAAGACAGAGTGCAAGCTGAAGTCTCAGGGGAAGTCTGGCCCCAAGTCACCTGGTGAACCCGGTTCGGGTTCAGGGGGAGGAAAGGCTCCGGGTTCAAATGCTGTGAATGCTCCGGTGGCTCCTCACAAGAACACCAAGCCATCAGGTGGTGGTACATCTTCGTCTTCAGGGCCGGTGAAGCTTCAGGAGATGGAGGTGGGGGTTGAGAGTGGCCAAGGAACACAGCGAGTCATTGCTGCAAGAGGCGACCAAGTTGCTGAAATGGGCACCTCAGCTGAAAGCCATCCAACTCAGTCAACTGGATCACGAAGTGAAGGGCATGGTTTTGTTGGATTCGGGTGCCACGCGCGCTCTCAGGCCAGCTCGTGACCAACAGGAGTGGCAGGAAGCTCAGCCCACGCAGGTGACCCTGGCGGACGGCATCACGGACAAGCTTCGCCTTAAGCAAGCCTCAAAGGTGCTATTGTCGGCTCCATGTGATGATGAATGGGGTCAATCTTGGATCATCCCACTTGGCGGCATTGCGGAGTTGGGGTACAAGTTTGAGTGGAAGAATGCTCGATGCACCTTGTCTGATGAAGATGGAGGTGATCTTCCAGTGGTAGTGCACCACGGTTGTCCTATGGTTCCTTGTGAAGTGGGCCAGGCGATGATCGACAGGTTGGAGAAGCAACAGATCCGGCTTCTTCGAAAGGCCCAGATCCTGAAGTCTATGCTACTGGATCCATCTGTGGAGATGATTCAGTCCATTCAACAGTCCACGGAGATGGCTATGACATACAAGTTGAAAACTTTGTTCAAGGCTCTGCCGGATGACGTCCTGATGAGGATCATTCCGGAGCTTGATGATTTGCAAAGTGTGGATGGCAGTCGTCTCCCTTGGAACAGGCGGAAGCGCCGCAGACTGGAGCGTGCCAAACAGATCGTGCTCCATTTGTTTTCTGGCCCGGACTCCAAGTATTGGGAGAAGGCCATCCAGCAAGGCAGTGTTGAGATGCTTTGCATCGACTTGCAAGCGGAGATCTCCGCGGATTTGCATGACGACCACATCTACCGGTACCTGCTGTCGCTTGCAGCTTCCGGAAAAGTCATCAAGGCCATCATTGGTGGCCCACCTTGCAGAACAGTGTCAGCCCTTCGGTATCAAGAAGACGGTGGACCTGGCATCCTCAGAACAGAAGAGTGTCCCTGTGGATTGCCGACTTTGTCGTCCTCGGAACAGGCCTTGGTCACTGGTGATAGTGTTTTGCTGTTCCGGATGCTGGCTCTGTACATGCTGTGCGAGGATGTCCGTCATGAACAAGAACCTCAAACGGCACTGGCTGTGGAGCAGCCGGAAGATCCAGCTCGTTACCGCCCTGTCGCTGAAGTACAAGAGAAAGGTTTCATGTCGATTTGGCGGACTCAAGAGTGGCAAGCTTTTGCTGATGCGTACGACATCAAGTTGCTCCACTTTGATCAAGGTCCTATGGGCCATGTGAAGCGGAAGCCAACAACATTGGCGGTGAAGCTTTGTGATGTGCAAGCCTTAGATGGAATTCGAGGGCCTCCCAGCGGAGTTGAAGCTGGAGATCAACAAGATCGAAACCGAATGTCAATGCAGGAGCGGTGTGACAACTCAAAAACATGGGCATCATGGGCTATAGTCTAAAAGGGGCATTGGTTCTTGCTCTCCAGGATCATCTTCACCGTGACATCGCGGGCAGTTGCCATGCGACCCCTTGGTCAGGTGGCTTTAGAAGGGTGGCGAAACCACCACCTCAATGTGTCAATGACTACAAGCTCGTCGTGACTGCAAACATTGTGTCAGGACATCTGCTCGGAGCAGGCCTCATCGTCGAATTATCCACCCAGAAAGCTATACTCTGAGTGTGGACCTCTCTGGAAAGATGGTGGTGGGCCAAGATCAGAGCCGTCACGATTGCCGCTACATGATGATCGCAGTCTACACCTTCCCGGTGGACGGTTCGGGTCCTTCCTTGGTGGAATCGGTTGAGTCTTCGTGCATTGACTCACCACTTCTGGCTGCAGATGATGAGTACACCCCCACGGACCCCGGTGGTGATGATCCTGGAGTGGACTACCTGCCGGAACAAGGGACGAACTGCCTTTGATGCATGGCAGAAGGAGGTGGAAAAGATACAGGACGTGACGGTCCGCAACCTCACGTTCGTGGAGGTTCTCCCTGGCAGATCAGTTCAACACATCCTGCCTGCCTTGGCTCGCATCTACGCTCGGTTGAGAAGTCTTGGATTGCCGTTGTACCGGCTCCATTGTGATCGAGCTCGTGAACTGATCTCTGCACCTGTTCGTCGATGGACGTTGGACAGGGGGA